CTTGACATCATGGGTATTGAGGAGTTGTGTCTTGAGGAGAGTGAGCATCATGACCTAGCTCTCTACCAAAGTCAGGCTGGATGTCTCATGTATGCAGCCCTATGCACAAGGCCTGACTTAGCCTTCACGGTATCCAAGCTAGCTCAACACATGAGTGCCCCATCACCCATCCATACGCATGCGGCCAAGCGAGCTCTTCGGTATCTCAAAGGTACTTCTAATCTTGGTCTTCTCTTCCAAGCCAGCCCACATGCAAGCTCCCTCCAAGGCTTTACCGATGCAGATTGGGCGGGAGAATTGAGCACACGGAAGTCCACCGGCGGCTACATCTTCCTCGTGTGCGGTGCCACTGTTTCTTGGCAATCACGCAAGCAAAGTTGTGTGGCGCTTTCTACAACCGAAGCTGAGTACATGGCAATGACCGAAGGAGCAAGGGAGACAATCTGGTTACGTGGACTCTTGGAGGACTTGAGGCAGCCGCAAACTCAACCAACTCCGCTCTACGTGGACAACACTTCAGCCATCGCTCTTTCCAAGAACCCAGTTCATCATGGCCGTACAAAACACATCGAGGTGCAGTACCATTTTATCTGTGAGCAGCTAGAAAAGGGAGTTCTTGCCGTCAACTTTTGTTGTTCGTTCGATCAAGCGGCAGATTTCATGACCAAGGTTCTTCCACATGATGCATTCAACATGTGCAAGGCAAGAGCAGGCCTCATGACACTTCATGAAGCAGTGCAGCAGTTTGAGGAGAATGAGGAGTATGAGGAGAAGAGACATGGGCAGCAGCATGGAGTGTATGTTAAGGAGATGTGAGAGGAGCATAAGCATGGGTATATGTGTGCTTCGGGTCTGGTGCGAGGGGGAGTGTTGGAGAAGCGAGTTTCTGCCGCCCCAGCCCTTTGCACACAAGGAGCAGCAAGGGGGAATGTCAGCGACGAAGTCAAGGCTTCGCGAATTATTTAGTAACTTCCGCAACCAATCAGATTTCAGCCGAAGTCCCTTTACAGTTCGGAATCACTTTCAGCCGATGTGTTAACGCTTTCTACGGGTTTCTACAATCCAAAATCAGCTATATCAGAGAATTCCATAGCCTTCTTATTCATGCACCTCATGTGGCTCTCAAAGTCACTCAAGGTCCATGGAAGCATAATTGTGCCCAAGTTCCCAAAGAAGTTGCTTTTTTTAGTAGCATAGTTTTGAGCTACCTATCTGCCTTTTTTTTTGTCATACTTAAAGAGTTGTGCTTTAGTGGGCTTGTATAATCTTGACCATAGTGAAGTTTTTTCCCTCATCCAGCCAAATTCCAGCAGCTCTGTTGAGCCTTTCCAGCCAAGTTTCCAGCCCTCTAGCAGTCACTATCACCCTGTTTTCAAGTAAATCGACGTTGGATGAACGAGTCGACAACACATCTTCATGGCGCATCTCCGAGCTAGGGTAGCCTGGCACCACCCTTGCCAATGGCGGCGTTGAGGGGTTTCTCTGATGGCTGATCAGCGTGCTTCGAGAATGGCGAATCTGATCCACATGCAATGGTGTGGCGGTCACCGCTATGGGCGATCGATTATCCCAGGCAGAGGGATTCAAAAGCGGGCATAGTCCAATATTGTCGAGCTACATTGTTTGCTGCAACGTTCTCTCGTCCATAGTATTGTGCCTCACGAACCTCATTGAAGTACCTTCGGCGACAAGTCCAAATTAATCAACATAATGAGGTCTTCCATCAATATTCTGGTTGTAGCGATTCTAGCCGTCCTCCTCGTCTCCGCTGGTGAGTTCACGTGCTTAGACCAGATAAACCGACAATCCTCCCGCTCGATTCTGTTCTGACCTGTCGTTGTAAATTTTCTGTCTGTTTGAGTTTTCCTTACGCTTCAGGACAGTCGTTGTTGCTTTGAGTTGCTGCTCTGTCGCCGTTCTGCTACTTAGACTCGCCCTTTTTTTTTCTCTCTCTCTCTCTCTCTCTCTCTCTCTCTCTCTCTCTCTCTCTCTCTCTCTCTCTCTCTCTCTCTCTCTCTCTCTCTCTCTCTCTCTCTCTCTCGTCTTCCAGCTCTTCCGAGTATGGCTCGTTGTTCAGGGAAGTTGAGGAAGGTGGTAAAGACGGACACATGCTCGGGCTTAATATTGACGTATTACAAGAAACAGGTTCATTAGTTTCAGAAGTACAACGGCTACAAATGTGTTGAGCCCCTTAAGGTTGGCTCTACCCTCTGTGTGCCGAAATAGATCTGGGTATATGCAATAATGTCGAGAGGGCCTTGCACAATAACTGCCTTCGGCAGCTGGGCCTTCAAGGTAGACGTGTACTGCTTGTGTGTAATTTACGGATAGTAAACTGCAGCTGGCCACAGCTACTTAAAGCCATTTCTTCAATCCCTGCCTCCCTCATACACCGCGCCTCCCTCACCGCCTTCCCTGCCGACTCTGCCGTCTTCTCCTTCTTATTCTCTGCCTTCCCCGCCTTGTCTCCCGCCTTCACCTTACTCTCCTGCTTGTTTTTCTTCACCTTCCGGGGATGTCCTACGCGGAAGCCTTCTTGGCGATCATCTCTGCCTTCCTGTCAATCCCGCCAATCCTGCCGATCCTGCCACTGCCTTCTCCCCTTCTCCTGCGCCCTTCGCTTCCTCCTTCCGCTTCCGCGTCTTGCTCTCTGAACCCTGTTTTGCCTGCTTCTGCTCCTCCTGCCCTTCTCTTCTTCGCCTTCCTCGTCCACTTCCTCGTCATCCACACTCATCACCCTTATCGTCCTCTTCCTCCTCCTCCTCGTCCCCCTCGTCGTCATCATCTTACCCCCCGCCCTCCATTTCCTCCGCTTGTTCTCGTCCCCATTCTCCCCGTTCTCCCCCTCCTCCCTCTCCCCTCCTCACTCCGATCTTCCTCTTCCCACTCGCTTCCCCCCTCCTCGTCAATCCCCATAATCTCCCCTTTTATCTTATCCCCCCCCCCCCCCCCCGCAACTGTAAACCCCTCCTGCTCCTCACGAGCTACCTTCAAACCCATCCTCTCCAACTTAAACTTTCCATCATTGACCATTCCATTCCATCCACCCTCGCCACCTTTTCTAATAAGCCCATTTTAATATTCAGTCCGTAGCTACAAGCTAAAACGCAATGGCGCAATGGCACCCAAGTGGCTGAGATTAGTTTCTGAAAAATGAGCAAAGACGAACATGTACCGTACATGTATTATTCTAAATTATTACCAGAAACTGTTCCACATATTCACCAGCAAGTTTGGCAGTTCCAGCAGAATGACACCTGTTGTGATGTGAGTGTTACAAACTCATAAAGCGCCACTCTACATCAGCACAACACAACCCCGCGCTCGCAGGTGGAACCATTTGCTACCATCCCACCACACCGCCCACAGGTTCTTCTCTTGCTACCCTCGTGCCACAACTGTCAAACCCACACTCCAGTTCTACAACAGCGTCGGATGCACCTCCCGCGACAGATGTACCTCCAGCAACCGAGTCGCTTCCAGATGTCCATGGAACAACCCATAGTTGCGTGGTACCATCCCGGACTTTGTCATCACGTACAGTATTATTTCGACACAGATGGCTTCACATCGCGCTTCGAAAACGCCCTGCGGCAGGGCGCGGTCACCGCGTTTGGCGATTGATTTGCTCAGGCAGAGGCTAAAACCGGAATCATTGCGACTGGTATTTAGATGTTCTCGAGCTTCCCTTCAACTATCACCTGCAGCGTCGTCCTCTCTCAGCCGTAGTCAACATATTCTGCCTCTCTAATCTCGCTGACGTACTGTCTTCGACAAGTTCATATCTCAACAAGTTCATATTAATTGACACAATGAGGACTTCCATGAAGCTCCTGATCGTAGCGATTGTAGCCGTCTTCCTCGTCTCTGTTGGTGAGTTATTGTGCTCATTGAGTTGTAGACTAGATGAACCGCCGATGCTAGTTCATCCGCTGTCTAGGCGAACTGCCGACCTCGCACTGGCTTCTGACCCGTCATTGTGAAATCTCGTCGGGATCACCTTTTCTCGTGTCGCAAATCAGTAACCGCTCCTCTTGTCTCCGTTCTGCTTTTTATGCGTGCCCTCCGTGCTCCCTTCCTCTAGCTCTTCCGACTATGGCCGCTTGTGCAGGAGAGTCGAGGACGGTGCGAATCACAGACACATGCTCCGACTTGATTTTGAATCTGTACAAGAAGCAGGCTCAACTGTTTGAGCAGCTTAACGGTTACAAGTGCGTTGAGCCCCTTCAGGTTGGCTCCACCTTGTGCTTGCCGAAATAAAGCTGAAGATAACAACACCAGAAGGGCCTTGCACAATAAACTGCTCTGGCAGCAGGCTGTTTAATAATAGACGTGTTCCTCCCTGCTAGTTGCTGTGGGATTGCAATTTGCAGATACCGCATGAGTTGGCCTACTCTGGCTTGCAAGAGTTGCATGCTGTCAGCATGTCCTGCTGCTAGCACTGTAATTCGTATTAATTATTTATCAATGCATACGCATTATGAAGCTGTGTTTTATTCAAGCTCATGGTTGTCTTTGTGGTTAAGTGCATTAAACTGACTTGCTATCTCACATGCCAAATTTGGAAGGATATAAAACTGTATTACCGTGAGTGTATTGGTATTGCTCACCAAAGCAGTACCGGCACTCATATAGAGTGTATCACCGTGGTACGCGTCGCATAACCTCAACTCCCAACCACTTTTCACACAAATCTGACTCCACCCCGCAGCGCCAGCACCATCACCATTATTCGTCAGGTCGAATGTCCCAGTTCCATCTGAATGCATTCCCGTCAATAATTATCCGTTCATCCTTTCATCTGTTGCAGTTCTCAACCTACGTTGCTTGGACGCACCTGCCTGCACCTCCCCTCTCCCTATGGCGTCTAGCCTAATCTGTTCGCTAAGGAGCCCAGGTTTCGGATTCCCCAAACACACTTTCGTTTACCGCAAGCAGATATCTGATCACGCGTTCGTTCATACCAGGTTAGCTAGCTTGGAGGTCAAAGATCTGAGGGCATGACTACTCGGTTACGAGTGCTCCTTGTGGCGCTGCTTGGAATTCTGATCTTACTGCAAGGTGCGTCCACAATCACACGGTCGACTCGATTATATTATTTTCTCCGAGCGTGCTAACAGATTCCGCCTCCGCCTGGCAAATCCCGGCCGCTCCTGGGCAAAAAACAGCCCTTTCCTTCAAGTTCTTGCATCGCGGTCCTTATCACAAATTTCTCGCCGTGGAAGCAGGAAAAAAAAAAAAAAAAAAAAAAATGGAATTCATTTACACCGCCTTCTTTCCCCCAATCTCCTTACATCACCACTCTTCCAATCATCCCCTCCCCTCCGTAATCTCAGGTCCATTCACAGTGGCTGTTGCGAAACAACTCCCTACGCGGCCAATCCTCCCCCTTCCGCAAACAAACCCTCGAGGCCAGCCTCGACGAGAAATCCCGCCGCCGGCGCCGCCAAGTGGCCCAATCGGAGGTTCGGGAGGGCCACGTTGCGCGTCCGGACGGACGTACCGCGTGCTTCCCACTGACAACTGCGTGCGCCTATTTTACCTGTATTATAACAGAAGTTCATCCACTTTCCGCTCTGCTAACGGCGGAAAGTCATGCGTTGATCCGCTGAAAATGGGTTCTTCGTTGTGTTTGCCTCCAAAATAGGCGTTCTGACTGCTTGGCGTACAGATATTAGTGGGCTTTAATGTTTTCCTTCGCTTAGACAGTTGATGTGCGCCATGATTTGAGAGGTTGATGAGAAAAAGCAGTTCTCCCACAAAATGCCTCCACTAGCTCATTAGAACAGTAACTTACGGTTCTAGTTGGCTAAAGATGGATGACAAATAAATGCGGGAGATTTGTGAATGTTAGTTTTTCAGCTACACTATATTGTAAGTAATTTTTATCCGCGCCAATTCTACATCATTGTTTGTGTTTCCGTATACATTAGATAACTTTACAATGCACTGATAACTTTACATTAGAGGAGGATGAAACGCGTACATACACAGTGACACGAGGGTATCGTTCTGAACGCGCACAAGCCTTCAGGGCCCTCCGCACGAGCCCTGCGGGAAGCATGTTCCCCGAAGGGATCAACCCTCCCGCGACATCGGCGAAGTTTGCTGCTAACGACAAAGCAGGTTTCGAATCAGTTATTTTTTTCTGTTCATCTTGCCCAGGCTGCCCAGGATGCTGAAAATGTTTCATCCCAACCATTCACAAACCTTCGGCCTTTGAGTTCACCCTTACCTCTTGTTTGGTATGTTTTTGTGGTGGGTAAATTCATCGCCGAATGTCCCATAAACAGGCGTTCCGAACTGCCCGTTATAGCTTGTGCGTCTCCTTATCCCCAGAGGGATGGGCGGATGGAGTTCGCATGGGCTGTTTGATGAATTTGCCCGAGGAAGAGGCTTCCTTGCAACCTTCGTGTGGATGGCTTGTTCTCCGTTCTGTTACGCATGGGCGCACAGCAGATGCAACCAGGTTCGGTAGATAATAACGAATTGGGAGGCTCGACGTGGGTTTTAAATCCTCGAATTGCGTTCCTAGAAGGTTCATCCTTGGGGCTGAGCATCTCTAACGCGCCCACAGAACGATGCCGAGGTGTTTCCGCAGTACTTTCCTGACCGTTCCCATGTACGACTCACAGCACGTCGCACAGCGTCTCTCGAAAAAATCACACCCGATTAAAAACGCAAGCCGTCGTCCAATCAGAAAGCACTATCGTGGTCACTGAGTCGCACATACGGTCTTGAAATCACCGTCGCTCGTTCCCCGTGGCTGCCGCATTCCTCGGCTCTGTTGTCGCAGAGCGGCCCATCCATCCATCCAGCCGTCACCAAGAATGATTGCTTCACCTCACCGCCCCTACGAGCAAACCAATGAACGAACCCCTCGCCACAGCGTCGTACAGCGGGCGGTGCACTGTTTGCACGTAGCGAGATGTCTTCACGAAGAGGTGCGAGAACGGTAACCGGTCAATGAAGGTATGGCCTTCCCTAACGTAGCAACGCGTACGTCGCTGGAAGTGTAGCAGTAATTGTGTCTGTCTTTCTTTGACTCGCATCGAAGGCTAGCTTAGTCAGGACTCAGGCATGGAGCTGATGAGTCAGTGGAATTGAGTTTTCGTCTCACGCGCGTTGGGTTTCTTTCCGTAGCTTTTTCCTTATTCATGCGCAGCGACCTTCTTTCTGACACGCACAAGTTGCAAAACATTAGCAGGCCAGATCGGTTTGCGTGTTTTTTAACTGAAGGTTAACGAGCTACAGTTGACGCGTGCCTTTTCAAACCGTTCTCGTCCAGCGGCACTACAGCAATTGCCAGAAATGGCGACTTTAACGCCAGGTGGCACGTTTTCAGCAGCTGCGAGTGCCACGTCAGCGCGCGTGGTGGTGGGAATCGAGGGCATGACGTGTTCGGCGTGTTCGACCGCCGTGGAAACCGCTCTCTCGAGATTGCCGGGAGTGACGACCGCCGCAGTCGCGCTGCTGCAGAACCAAGCGCAAATCACGTTCGACCCCGCTATAGTCAACGAGAACGAGATAGTCACCGCCGTAGAAGACGCGGGGTTTGACGCGAAAGTAATATCCCTGTCACGACCATCCGCCCGTGCCTTCCCCGCTGCAGCTAACCCAGTTGGCGTTACCTGTGCTTCGTTTGTTGACCCTACCTCATCGTGTGGCGTAGCAGCGGCATTATCAGCGGCGGTGACGGATTCGGCGCCATCTGCGACGACGGCGCCTTCCACGTCGGCAGCCTCCGTTCCTGCCACGTCAGCGCGCGTGGTGGTGGGAATCGAGGGCATGACGTGTTCGGCGTGTTCGACCGCCGTGGAAACCGCTCTCTCGAGATTGCCGGGAGTCACGGCCGCCGCCGTCGCGCTGCTGCAGAACCAAGCTCAGATCACGTTCGACCCCGCTATAGTCAACGAGAACGAGATAGTCACCGCCGTAGAAGACGCCGGGTTCGACGCTAGAATCATCTCCCTCTCGCGACCCTCACAACCCTCGCGACCGCTGCAAACGGCAGGAACCGAGCCTTTTTCGTCCAACGCTCATGCGGATCCGATTCTGCTTCCGGGAAATTCGGTCTCGAATCTGGTCTCGAGTGCGGTCACCCCGTCTGTCGCGAATCCTCTTCTTGCCTCTTCGCAACCCTTCGATATGCCATCTCAACGGACGCAATCCGGACAGCCGCTATCAGCAACAGCAGCAGGAACAGCAGCAGCAGCAGCAGCAGCAGCACCGGCAATGGGTTCGTTGCAGGATGACGCATTATCCGGGAGCGACAGGCTGAGCGTGACTGTAACGGGGATGGGCGGCAGGGATGACGTGGCAGCTGCTGTCGAAGTAGCGGTATTAACGGTGGCGGGAGTTAGGGAGGTAAGTGTAGATTCTAGGAGCGGATGGGTGGAGGTAGAATACGACCCGGAAATCACGGGGATTAGAGACGTGGTGGGAGCTATAGAGGCGATTAGTCTGGTGGGGTTAGGGATGGGTGGGGAAGAGGAAGGGGAGGAGGAGGATGATTGGTTGGGGGAGGATGGGGAGGAGGGAAAGGGGGAGGAGGAAGGTAGTGAGGAGAGGCAAGGGAAAGTTAGTGAGGGAGATGAAGAGGGAGGGATGGAGGCGGGAGTGAAGGAGGAGTGTGGGGAAGAGGACGAGGAGAGGGAGAAGCTGGTCGGGCGCGGGAAGAAGCGGGGCCCGTGGGCAGAACGGGCCCATGCAGTCCTGAAGCTAGTATCGAGAACTCTTAAAACGGGGACGGCGAGGAAGGAGGGGGAAGGGGGAGGGTTGGGGAGCGATGGGGGCGCGGAGAAGGACAGCAGGGGACGAGAAGACAGAAGGGAGGAGCGGAGGGCAGAGGGGAGCGGAGGAAAGAAGGCGCGCTCCCATGGGCTACGTGTTGCCTTGCCGAGTATGCTTGGATCCTACCGTCCCGACCGCTCCTCTGAACTTTACTCCCTCACGCGCCAGTTCTCCCTCTCGCTCCTCTTCGCCGTCCCGCTCTTTCTTCTCAACCTCGCCTCCCACTCCCGCCTCCTCTCCCCGCTCCTCTCCCTCCCCTTCCTCCACGTCACCCTCATCCAATGGCTGAAGCTCCTCCTCGCCACGCCCGTGCAGTTCCATCTGGGCCGTCGATTCTACATCGCAGGGTTCAGATCGCTGCGCCACGGCAGCGCGAATATGGACGTGCTGGTCGCCCTCGGGACCTCCGCCGCATATGGCTACTCCCTGCTGACCCTCGCGGTGCAGATCGGTTCTGGGCGGTACCTGGGCCACGATTTCTTCGAAACGTCTGTGATGCTTATAGTGTTTATCCTGGGGGGGAAGTATCTAGAGGCTGTGGCGAAGGGGAAAACGTCCGAGGCGATTCAGAAGCTGCTGCAGCTGGCGCCTGCCACGGCCGTCTTGGTGGACGTGAATGCAGGTACGGAATGTTTGCTCTGAATGCACGGTTCAGATGTAGTGCTGGTAAGAAGCCGCCGCAGCTGGCACCTCTGATGGCTGTGCCGGTGAGTGTGACTGCAGATGTGCTTTGTTTTGTGCCTCAAGTGCTGACTCTCTCTGCTTCGTTCCCCTTCTCTTCCCCTCTCTTTCCCCTCTGTTCCTCTCCTCATCCCACCAGACGGCAAGGTGGTGGCAGAGAGAGAAGTTGGCTCGCGGCGCTGCAGAGGGGCGATGTGCTGCCAGTACTGACGCCTTTGCCTCTCCCTTCCCCTCTCACCATCCATTCACCCTCTCCACCCCACTCTCTCCACCCACTCAGACGGCAAGGTGGTGTCAGAGAGGGAGGTTGACTCGCGGCTGCTGCAGAGGGGCGACGTGCTGCCAGTGTTAACGCCTTTGCCTCTCTCTTCCCCTCTCGCTATCCCTTCACCCTCTCCACCCCACCCTCTCCACCCCTTCAGACGGCAAGGTGGTGGCAGAAAGGGAGGTTGATTCACGTTTGCTGCAGAGGGGCAACGTGCTACGCGTGCTGCTGTTTCCTGTGCCTCACCTCTCGCTTCCTCCACAAACTCCCCTTTCTTTCTCCACCCCACTCCACCCCTCTCCACCCCTCTCTACCACACCAGACGGCAAGGTGCTAGCAGAGAGGGAGGTGGACTCGCGCCTGCTGCAGAGGGGCGACGTGCTGCGCGTGCTGCCCGGGGCGAGGGTGCCCACAGACGGTGTGATTGTAACGGGTGAGTGGAGGAGGGGAAGTTAGGATTAATAGATTGCTGATTAGGTGATTGGTGAGTGAGTCAGCACCAGTGGCCAAGGGTTTGGAGTGGGGCGACATGTGAGTGATACTCATTGCACCTCCTCTCCGCCTGCTCTTTCCCCCCCCACCAGGCACCACCCATGTGACCGAGGCCATGCTCACAAGCGAGTCAGCACCAGCGGTCAAGGGGTTGGACTGGGGCAGCATGTGGGTGATACTCATGGCGCGCACTCATCATCCCTTATCCCCACTCTTCCCCTACCCTCCCCGCCTCCCACCCCCTCCAGGGCACCACCCATGTGAACGAAGCTAACTGACAGGCGAGTCAGAACTGGTGACAAGGGGGCGCACTTCACTTCCCTGAGTCCACTTCCGCCCTGCTCTCTTATTCCGTCCCCACTCTCCCCCCCAGGCACCACCCATGTGAACGAGTCCATGCTCACGGGAGAGTCAGCACCGGTGGCCAAGGGGCCGGGGTCCCGCCTTCTGGGCGGCACAGTCAACCTGTCAGCCGGCGTGCTACTGAGGGCCACACAGGTGGGTGTGTGATAGGGCTGCAATGGGAGGTACTAAGGGGCCGGGGTCTGCCTTTTGGGCGGCACTGTGAACCTGTCGGCCGGCGTCTTGCTACGAGCCACGCAGGTGGGTGGTGTGTTGTGAGGACATGCACAGAAGCTGTATTGGGCCCAATAGATGTGGGCACGTGATGGATGCGTTTTCTGAGAATAGATGGATGGCTACACAGGTGGGTGTTGTGTTGTGAGGACGGCCCGTGTGTGACCACATGCACAGAAGCTGTGTTGGGAGGGGCACATTGTATGCGGGCACATGCCGGTGGCCAGGGGACGGGGTCCCACCTTCTGGGTGGCACTGTGAACCTTCGCAGATAGAGTGGCGCTGGTTAAAGCTGCGCAGCTCAGCAGGCGCCCATCCAGAAATTCGCTGACTGTCCCCTCCCTCCGTCTCCCTGCCTTGCCCCGTGTCCCTGCTCCGCCTTGGCCCCCCTGTCCCCCCATGTGCCTAACAGGTGGGCAGCGAGACGGCTCTGGCGCAGATAGTGGCGCTGGTGGAATCAGGCCAGCTCAGCAGGGCGCCCATTCAAGATCTTACTTTCTCCTTCTCCATACACCCATGTCTCTGTGTGCTTGCACCAACAGGTGGGCAGCGAAACCGCTCTGGCGCAGATAATGGCGCTTGTAGAATCAGCGCAGCTCAGCAAGGCGCCCATTCAAAAGTTTGCTGACCGGGTGGCAGCGGTGTTTGTGCCGGTGGTGGTGGTCCTTTCAGCTTGCACCTTTCCCTCCTGTGTTCCCACGTGCACGTTAACAGGTGGGCAGCGAAACCTCTCTGGCGCAGATAGTGGCGCTGGTAGAATCAGCTCAACTCAGCAAGGCGCCCATCCAGAAGTTTGCCGACCGGGTGGCAGCGGTGTTTGTGCCCGTGGTGGTGGTCCTTTCAGCGTGCACGTGGCTTTGCTGGTTCATGGCTGGGAGCATGGGGTGCATTTCATCCGCCATGCTTCCCCCGGGGGTAGACTCACAGTTCACCCTCCCGCTCCTCTTTGCTATAGCTGTACTCGTTATAGCGTGCCCCTGCGCCCTCGGATTAGCCACCCCCACGGCAGTCATGGTCGCAACAGGCGTGGGGGCAGCACAGGGCGTGCTTATAAAGGGGGGAGAGGCGTTAGAAGCAGCACATAAAGTCACATGCGTTGCTTTTGATAAGACGGGGACGTTGACGGTGGGGAAACCGAGGGTGGTGGCAGTGGTGCCTTATGTTGGTGATTCTGGGTGTGCTACTAGCGAGGGGCACTGTGCTACTAACGAGGGGTGTGATAACGAGGCCATATCTCAAGCAGAGCTACTTTCCCTGGCAGCGGCAGCAGAGGCAAATTCCGAGCACCCGCTCGGGCGGGCGATTTTGGACTATGCGCAGCACTATTTCGTCTTTTCTGGGGAAGGTTTCACTGGGGACGAGAGTACCTCTCCCTCCTCCTGCTCCTCTCTCTCCCCTTCTGCTGCGCCGTCTCTCAAACCTTCCAAGGATATGAGCTGGATGCGAGAAGCAACAGAGTGTGAGGTGCTGGCAGGGATGGGGATCCGATGCAGGGTGGACGGTCAGGTGGTTTTGGTGGGCAGCCGGCACCTGATGGAACACCTGGGCGTTCAGGTGCCTGCTCAGGTGGATCTTCTGTTGCAGGCGCAGGAGGAGGAGGCGCGAACAGGTGTCATCGTGGCACTGGGCGGCAAGGAGGGAGGGGCCGAGGCGGAGGGGAGTGGGAGGGAGGAGGGGAGGGGGAATGGGAGAGTGAGGGTGGTGGGGAGTGTGGTGATCAGTGATCCAGTGAGGAGGGAGGCTGCAGTGGTGGTGGAGGGGTTGAGGCGCATGGGGGTGCGCGCTGTGATGATGACGGGGGACAACCGCCGCACTGCACATGCCGTGGCCAGACAGGTGAGATACAGGTTCAGGCTACGTGTGGATGGGTGGGGGAGAGAGGCAGAGAGACGGTGGGTTGAGGCGAATGGGCGTGTGCGCTGTGATGATGATAGGGGACAACCACCGCACTTCCCGCACCTCCAGTTTCCGCACCTCCAGTTCCCACACCTCCAGTTCTCACACACCTCTCCCCGTCCCCACTCCCCCCTCCTCCACCCCTCCCCAACCCTCCCCACCCACCAGCTGAGGTTTCCACGAGGTGATAGCAGAGGTGCTACCGGCCCACAAGGCCGCCGCCATTCGCTCGCTACAGATGGCCTTCCTCTCTCACCCCCCACCCTCTCCTTCGCCCCCCCAATTCCCCTTCCCTAATCTTCCACCAGTTGGGCATCCACGAGGTGATAGCAGAGGTGCTACCGGCCCACAAGGCCGCCGCCATTCGCTCGCTGCAGATGGCGCCTCCCCCGGTCGAACCTTCACCTGCCAGCAGCAGAAGCTGCTTCTGGTGCCGATGCTCCTGCTGCTGCTGGCTGGTCTCTGGCTTGCGGCGAGCCCTTGGCTGGTGTGACTCTGCCTGCTGCTCCACATGTGCTGCTGCTGCCTCCTCTGCTGCTACCTCTGTGGGTTTGGGTGGGAGTGAGAGCAAGACAGTGGTAGCGATGGTGGGGGATGGGATCAACGACGCACCAGCTCTGGCTGCAGCAGACGTGGGCATCGCTATTGGTGCCGGCACGGACGTTGCTATTGAGGCGGCGGATTTTGTCCTCATGCGGTCAAATTTGGAAGATGTGATTACTGCGCTGGATCTCGCGAGGAAGACGTTTTCGAGGATCAGATGGAATTATGTTTTCGCGATGGGGTATAATGTTGATTCCGTTGGCGGCCGGGGTGCTGTATCCGGTGTTTATGGTGCGGCTGCCGCCCTGGCTGGCCGGTGCAATGATGGCGCTTTCGTCTGTTAGTGTGGTGTGCTCGTCTCTTATGCTGCGGATGTACCGCCGCCCGAAGCTGCCCGAGCTGCTGTTTGGGAAGATGAAGAAAGGGGGGAGTGGTGTGTTGAGACAATAACGAGAAACAGGTGTGGCGAGCAAGGAAGGTGGGGAGATGGTTTTTGCAGGCAGTGGTGGCAGCAGGGGTAGACGAGGGGAGGGGAGGGGAGAGAGGGGAGAGGGGAAGGGGAGAGGAGGGAGGGAGGGTTTAACTGCTAGAAGCCAGCAGCAGCAGTGGGAGCTACACTTGTAGCTATCAGGTTAGGCGTTTTCAGGGTGGCTTGCATGTAGGATGGAACGTAGTTTCGTAGATAGGGAGGATTGTGGATTGGACCTTGGGATCTTGATCGTTTGTGTGAGTTTTCGTTTAGGTTTGGCTGATTTGTGTGAATAAATTACTGCTTGTGCAGCAGGCGTGTTGCTTTAAATGCAGTGCTTGTGTGATTTGGGTGGATTTCTCTGGTGTAGGATTAATGTGATGTGAATGCTGTAAGGTACGGTAGAATGTTTTTGTCTATATGTGCTTGTTAGTGTATTTGGCGTGTTACCAGTACACGAAGCTGATCTGTGAACACAGGCTGACTCAGAATGTCCGACCATTGACGTGGCACCCATTCAGTTCGTGAAACAATGCAAGATGCTACACGCCTAACCATTGATGTAGGATGCATCTGTTGAAAAGATGTGTAAATCTGGCGAGATCGCTCCCTACACTCTCAACTCAGTCTGTCCTCGTTTGCTTTTTATCGAATCACTCACTGAAACAGTCATATCCTCCTCGGAAAATCCGCCGCATTCAAGAGACTCTGCACTACCTACATGGTCAGAGGCTAAAGTAGTCTCCAGAGACTAAATTTATTTCCAGAGGCTAGCTAGAACAAACTCCGTAGTAACGTGTTTCCTTAGTGTGAGGAAGGACACTTCGGTTTCCTGCATTCAGAATGGCGGCAGCAGCACCGCTCCTGTCAGCGAGCGCAATCGCGCCCGATCGCCTCTCTCCGCGCGCCAATCTCCCCCCCGCGTCTTCCGCTAACCCCTGCGCCGCCATTCCCTCCGTCAGCGCTTCGAATTCCAGCAAATTTCGCGGCGAGGCGCTCCGCTCTCGGCCGTCTCCCCCTTTCCGCGCTCGCCTGCCCCATGCGCACGTGCCTGTGCGCGCAGAGGCGGAGGGGGCGGTCGGGGGAAGCGGCGGAACGGCGGAGGCGGATTGGCGGACGAAGGCGCGGCCAATCAAGCCTGGCGGGAATTATCCTGCCAAGGAGCACTGCAGGTGAGAGACTGTAACGAGAATCAAGTGTATAGGCATGATCAAAGCAGTTAAACACCAAACAATATCACTCACACACACACACACACACACACACACACAAGGCGGCTCCTGTCCTGCCTCCTCGCCTCTTCCGGTCCCCCACCCCCATTTTAACTCTAGCTCTCATTTCTCAACTCTCTTCTTGTTCCACTTCAGTCTCTTATCCCCCTCACCTCAAGCCCCCTCCTCATCTCCCCTCCAATACGGGGCCCCAGCCAGTGCGGGCTGTGTGGCACATACTACATCACGCATGTGAAGGACGCGTGCGCCTCCCGTTGAGTCTCTCTTACCTCCTCCTTTCCTCCTTTCGCCCCTTGCCATGCCATCTCCCCTGTCCCATCTCCCCCCCCGTGTGCCTATTATTGTGCTGCCACCTCATTCGCCCCTTTTTCCCCCTTCCCCCCACTCCCGCACACCAGCCAGTGCGGGCTGTGCGACACGTACTATATCGCGCATGTGAAGGACGCGTGTGCTTCGCATTCTTCGCACTCCATCCCTTATCTCCCTCACTCCGAACCCCCATCGCCAGCCAGTGCAGTCTGTGCGACACATTCTACATTGCTCATGTGAAGGACGCACGTTTTCTCCCAACTAGTCTCCTCCCTCCCCTTGTCCCCCCCACTCTTGTCCCTCTCACTCCTAATTCCTCCCACAGCAGCCAGTGCGGGCTGTGCGACACATGCTACATCGCTCATGTAAAGGACGCATGTGCTACCCATTACCCCATTACCCCATTACCCATTACCCATTGTTCCACTCTTAACTCCTCCTTTACCTCTTTTCCCGCGCTCCCCATCTCCCTTCCCCCCTTCCCATCCCTCCTCCCACCACACCAGCCAGTGCGGGCTGTGCGACACATACTGCATTGCCCATGTGAAGTTTGCGTGTGCCTTGCATTGTATCACCCACTCTTGCCTCTTGTTTCCCCCTTCACCCCTCCCTATCTCCCCTACCAACGCCCAGCCAGTGCGGCCTGTGCGACACGTACTACATCGCACATGTGAAGGACGCGTGTGCATTTCTTGGGGATGGCATGGGCAGGATCGAGGTGTGTGATGCCCAGGGTGTGATGTGTGAGTGTGTGATTGTGATATGTGCTGCTCTGCTATCTGATCTGTGACTGTGCTCCAGGTGCTGTGTGCTGCGAGCTGCCTGTTGTGTGACCGTGTGTGTGCTGTGCTCCTCTGTGCTCTCTAGGTCGTGGGCTTGTGTACACGGCATGTGGGCCCCTAACCATCCCCCATATCCCTCCGTTGACTCTGTTGACTGCGTTGACTTCATTGACTGCATTGACCACCAATCTGCAGCCCATGGAAGCACGAGTGCACGGCCGGGGCAGGAGGGAGGGAGACGAGGACGAGTTTCACTTCGGGGTGCACCAGGAGATGCTCTATGCGCGCCGCACGCCCCCCCTGCCAGGTGAAACCAACAGAAACGTGCCCTTCTGCCAGGTGAAGACAACAGAGACTGCATCGCCCCTGCCAGGTGCCAGGTGAAAACAACACAGACTGCACCGCCCCTGCCAGGTGAAAGTCCAGAGACAGCGCTCTCGCCTGTGTGGTAGTTTCAGTGCAAGTGCCATGTCAACACGCCCTCACCTTGTTTTTCCCCGCTGATAATCAACGCCATGCATGTGTGAAGCCGGTCCCCTCTCATTCTCATCTTACTCTACCCTCTCACTTCCCTCTTCTTCCCACTCACGCTTTCTCCTTGCCCTTGCCCTCTCGCTACCAGGCGCACAGTGGACGGGCGTGGTGACGGCCATAGCAGTGGAGATGCTGTTTCTCTGTGCCGTCTCACGTTCCCTGCACTCTCAATTCGCCCTCTGTCTCCTCTCCCCGCTCCTCCTCCTCCCAGGAGCGCAGTGGACGGGCGTGGTGACGGCCATAGCCGTGGAGATGCTGAGGACGGGAAAGGTGGATGCGGTGATATGCGTGCAGAGGTGGGCAATGGAGGGTGGCGGTGGTGTGTGTTGGGTGCAACTCACACAACCCACACAGTGTACGGCTGTCTGCTTCTGCTGCATGTTTTTACCTGGTTGAGACGTCTCAAAAGCATGTCAGTGCCTGGTTGGCGTGGTGACGGCCATAGCAGTGGAGATGCTGAGGAGTGGAAAGGTGGATGCGGTGATATGCGTGCAGAGGTGGGCAATGGGGGGCGGTGGTGTTGTGTGTGTGCTCATGTGCATGTCACTGGCTTGGCGTGGTGGCAGCCGTAGCCGTGGAGATGTTGAGGAGCGGCAAGGTGGATACAGTGATTTAGATGCAGAGGTGGGCGTGTGATTGGGGAGGTGCTGGGTGATGGGTGCCTTGTGTGCTGTGTGCACACACGATGCATGGAGCGGCAAGGTGGATGCAGAGTGTTACATGCACAGGTGAGTACCGGGGTGGGATTGTGTGTTGGGTGGTGGGCAGCTGATGCTGTGTGCACGAAACGAATGGGTGTATGACAAGCGTGCGAGCTTGCAGGGGCACGCGAAGGTGCCTTAAGGAAAAGGAAATTCGCGGCGGATGCATGCAGAGGTGAGGTTGTGGTGGGAGAGGTGCGCTTACAGGGTGGGCTTGAGCGTAGGGAGGCGGTGGTGGTGTGTGTTAGGTGCCATGCAGGTGCTGGTGTGGTGGACTAGACACGGATGTGCATTGGCATCCACACCTCTTAGTGTGCTGCATGCTGTTGGCATGGTGGGCAGCATGGCATGGTGGGCGGCATGGCATGGTGGGCGGCATGGCATGGTGGGCGGCATGGCATGGTGGGCGGCATGGCATGGTGGGCGGCATGGCATGACCGTGTTGCCCCTCACCCCGTGTTGGCGAGGACAGAGTAGGAGGTGATGGAACCTCCAAGGGTGAAACCCACCCTCTCATACGCTTACATATGTTGCCGTAAGACCTCCCAACCCCCTCTCCTGCGACTATGTCGACTCAACAAACATGATCTCCCATGCCCATTCCCACCCTCTCTCAGCGACCCATCAGACCGCTTTGCACCTCGCCCTGTGTTGGCGAGGACAGAGGAGGAGGTGATGGCAGCTAGAGGGCTCAAGCCCAACCTTAGATGCACTTAGATGCACTGCTGTCATATGCTGTCATATGCTGTCATATGCTGTCATATGCTGTCATATGCTGTCATATGCTGTCATATGCTGTCATATGCTGTCATATGCTGTCATATGCTGTCATTGGCATTGAAACGTCTCGCCACTGCTTCCCCTCCCTCGCCTCCCTCCACTCCCAATCCCACCCATCCCAGTGACCCGTCTCACCGCTTTGCCCCCGCGCGGTGCTCGCGAGATCAGATGTGGAACTGCTGGCAGCCAGAGGGGTGAAGCAATATAAATGTTCCCCATATAAAAACCGCGTGAACTTAAACGACTTTTGAGGAGCCTCAAAAGTCGCTGCCCGGTGCTCGTGAGGTCAGATCAGGAAGTGCTGGCAGCCAGAGGGGTCATGCCCATGCTCTCGTACTCTCATTCGCTTCCACTTTCTCACATTTAACCTCCCCTTCACCTTCTTCGCTTCCTTCCTTCCCACCCTTCCCACCCTTCCCCATCCCAGTGACCCATCAGACCGCTTCGCCCCTCGCCCTGTGCTGGCGAGGACAGAGGAGGAGGTGATGGCAGCTAGAGGGGTCAAGCCCACGCTCTCTCCCAACCTCAACACCCTCGCTCTTGTGGAGGTGCGTGCTGCTTGTCCCGTGCAGCTGCTTGTGTTGCGATGCTTGCTTGCTTGCGCTGTGCTGCCATGTGAATCGCACAAGAGTGAAGCCCACTCTCTCACCCAACCTCAACACCCTCACTCTGGTGGAGGTGCATGGTGTTTATGTATTGTTGAGGCACCTCAAAAAGTGGCGTTTCTCTTTTTGGTATTTTCCTCCAAAAAGAGTGCGGTTGGTCCGCTCACTCTCCCTGGCTATGCTGCTTGTGGAGGTCTGAGAGGTGGTCACAGTGTTGGTGTGATGAGTCGTGTTTTGAGTCAACTCAAAACACGACTCTTTTCCTCCAAAATGGGTGTGGTTGGTCGGTCCGCTCACTCTTCCTGGCTACGATGCTTGTGGAGGTCTGAGAGGTGGTCACAGTGTTGGCGTGCATGAGTGATGCGCTGAGTTGCATTTGAAAAGTGTGAAGCAGTACCAGCAGCACATCACGACTGACACCCCCTCCTGCATGCACTCCCCCTTGCCATCCCCACTCGCTGTGCGGCAGGCAGCACGGGTGAAGCGCTTGCCTAGTTTTGAGACGTCTCAAAACTAGATTACTATCACGCGGATTATATACAGAGAGGCTTACTAGATTATATACTACATTGTATACTAGATTATATACTAGATTACTATCCCTAAACAAAGCTTCTATGGCTGTCTGTCCCCACTCGCTGTGTGGCAGGCAGCAGGGGTGAAGCGGTTGCTCTTCTGTGGAGTGGGCTGCCAGGTGCAGGGTGAGTGCAGCGCGGTGCAGTGTGGTGGAATGCGGTGTGGTGCGGTGTGAGTGTCAGAGTGTGTAAGCCGAGATGTAACTGATCCCACGGCCCTCTCTACCCTAACCCCCTGCTTGACCACTCCCCAACCGCTCTTTCTCTTGCTTCCCTATCAATCATAGAATTCTCCTATTGTTATATCTTTGTGTCTTTGCCCCCTATGCCCTCTCTGCCCACACTCCCCCCCTCCCCTCTCTGTCCGTTTGTCCCCACGGTCCCCTCCCTGTGGCTGTCTCACTCCTCCCTTCTCCCCCCTGGCAGCACTGAGGGCAGTGGAGCAGCATTTAGGATTGGAGAAGCTGTACGTGCTCGGCACCAACTGCGGTGAGTCCTCTGTTCCTCTCCTCGTTGCCTTGGGCCCCTCTGCTCGCCCTTCGCCTTGCCTCCATCCCTCCGCTGAGGGCAGTGGAGCAGCATTTAGGATTGGAGAAGCTGTACGTGCTCGGCACCAACTGCGGTGAGTCCTCTGTTCCTCTCCTCGTTGCCTTGGGCCCCTCTGCTCGCCCTTCGCCTTGCCTCCATCCCTCCGCTGAGGGCAGTGGAGCAGCATTTAGGATTGGAGAAGCTGTACGTGCTCGGCACCAACTGCGGTGAGTCCTCTGTTCCTCTCCTCGTTGCCTTGGGCCCCTCTGCTCGCCCTTCGCCTTGCCTCCATCCCTCCGCTGAGGGCAGTGGAGCAGCATTTAGGATTGGAGAAGCTGTACGTGCTCGGCACCAACTGCGGTGAGTCCTCTGTTCCTCTCCTCGTTGCCTTGGGCCCCTCTGCTCGCCCTTCGCCTTGCCTCCATCCCTCCGCTGAGGGCAGTGGAGCAGCATTTAGGATTGGAGAAGCTGTACGTGCTCGGCACCAACTGCGGTGAGTCCTCTGTTCCTCTCCTCGTTGCCTTGGGCCCCTCTGCTCGCCCTTCGCCTTGCCTCCATCCCTCCGCTGAGGGCAGTGGAGCAGCATTTAGGATTGGAGAAGCTGTACGTGCTCGGCACCAACTGCGGTGAGTCCTCTGTTCCTCTCCTCGTTGCCTTGGGCCCCTCTGCTCGCCCTTCCCCTTGCCTCCATCCCTCCGCTGAGGGCAGTGGAGCAGCATTTAGGATTGGAGAAGCTGTACGTGCTCGGCACCAACTGCGGTGAGTCCTCTGTTCCTCTCCTCGTTGCCTTGGGCCCCTCTGCTCGCCCTTCCCCTTGCCTCCATCCCTCCGCTGAGGGCAGTGGAGCAGCATTTAGGATTGGAGAAGCTGTACGTGCTCGGCACCAACTGTGGTGAGTCCTGAGAAGCCGCCTTGCCACCTCTGCCTTGCCGCCTTTCCTCCGTTGAGGGCAGTGGAGCACCATTTAGGGTTGTAGAAGCTCTATGTGCTCAGCACCAACTGCGGTGAGTCATAACTGCGGTGGGTTGTAGTCTCCTTCTTTCCTCCCTTCTTTCTCCCCCTTTCCTTTCCCCCCTCTTCCACTGTTCTTCCTCCCTCCTCGATCCTCTCTGTCACCTCTGTCTAGCCGCTTTTTGCCATCTCTCTTGAGTTTGCATGGTGCTCTGATGTTGTCTCACCAACCCTAAGCCCTCGTTCTCGTCCATCGCACACCACTGTGCACCGTCCCACACCATCGCACACCACCGCAGTGGACAACGGTCCGCGCAAGGGCCTGGAGAAGTTCCTGAACGCTGCAAGTGACGATCCCGAGACAGTGCTGCACTACGAGTTCATGCAGGACTATAAGGTGCGTTGTTATACTTTATAATCCTATATTACTTATACAGTACAGTGCTGCACTAGGAGATCATGCAGGACTATAAGGTGCTACAGTACTGTATTGACAACATAATTGCCCCCATTTCTCGTTGCACTACGAGTTCATGCAGGACTATAAGATGCTGCAGTGCTATATTACAATCGTTTAATTATAGTTTATAAGTCCTGTATTATTCATTTCAGTACAGTTCTGCACCACGAGTTCATCCAGGATCGTATTGTGCTCCAGCAGCAGTTTATAATTCATGTGCCCCCTCATCCTCCCCCTCCTGCCTCTTTCCCATCCCCCCATGCTGCCAGGTGCACATAAAGCATCTGGACGGTCGAATGGAAGAGGTGCGTTCTCCCTCCCATGCCTCTCCCTCCCATACCTGTCAAGCGATCCTTTCGATGACCACACGAGTGCCTCTTGTTTCCATGCCTCTGCCTCTCAGTCCCACGCCTCTGGTTTTTTTTATTCTCGTTCTGCAACTGTTTATTCCTCAAGTAACGGTTTCCTGCCTCAGGCTGAGACTCTCAGCTGCTTGCTCTTCCTGCCGTTGATCCTTATTCCTCCTTGTTCTTTCTTCCTTGCTTCTTGCTCCGATCTTCCGTCTCCCATCTCTTATCTCCCACCTCCCAACCTCAGGTGCCATATTTCTGCCTCCCTGCATCGGACCTTAAAGACGTCATTGCCCCTTCCCACTCTCATACCACTCAAATATGTGCCACCAATTGCCCATTGCCCGTTGCCTCAGGTGCCCTATTTCTGCCTGCCAGCATCAGACCTTAAAGACGTCATTGCCCCCTCCTGCTACAGGTGAGTGCACTCAGGTTAGTCCTATGGGAGTCACTTTTGAGACGTCTCGAGAATCCACCCTCGTTAATCCTTGTCCATCACATGTAATGTGATCACCAGTCATATCACACCAAACACCTAAGTGTCCTTTCACATATAATGTGATTTCTGTGGTCACGTCACTCGTTTGTGCTCATCATGCCATGGTACGTTAGCCATGTGTGCATGTAAGCCTTTGCGATGGTGACTTTTGAGTCGACTCAAAAGTCATGACATTGGCCATGTTTGCATGTAAGCCTTTGCCATGGTGATCTGACTTATTGATGATGTAGGGTGTTTTTGGGAATTCTCAAAAACATTCTACATGTGTGCATGTAAGCCTTTGCCATGGTGATCTGACTTCTGTTTCCTGTGCCTCATCCCCATCGTTCTCCTTCCTTCTCTCCCTCTCGCCCCCTGCTCCTCCTCCCATGTCTCCCTGAATCCGCGTGTCCCAGCTGCTTCGACTACACCAATGGCCTCGCCGTAAGTCTCTTTTCCCTTCCCGCAAGTCCGCCTCTTCCCTTGCCAGGTCCACCTCGCCATGAACCATCTTTCCAGCCAGTTCCCATACACTGAAGTATGCCTAGTGCCGACCTCTCTTCACATCGATCACAGACATCACACCCATCGTCCTCACCACCATTACCATCCCATCCCATCGCACACATCACATGAGCACATGACATGGGGGTGGGGTACATGGGAGTGGCCTTAAAAGCTCATCACACCTCTCATCTCTCCTCCTCCCTCCCTCTCCCTGCACGCAGGACATGGTGGTGGGGTACATGGGAGTGCCCAAGCAGCAACGCGTCCCCATGACGGATCATCTGCAGTACATCACAGTCAGGTGCACCCCATTTCTAGCGAAGCTCAATAACTTCTTTTCTAATTAGGTCTGCATGCCAACACACTTTATGCTGTTTTTTTCTCTTTTCTTGCATCGGTGCTTTCTCTGCTTCCTTCTCCATTCGCCTCTCCTTCCACTTGCATGCTATCTCTACGTTCTACACTACTGATAGCAACAGTAATGATACCAACAACGACACCACACCAGCAGCGATACCAACCAGGGTATTTAGCACAATACCAATTCTTCTTCCCGTGCACCCAAACTATATCCACGCTGCAGGAATGAGCGAGGGGCGGAGATGCTGGATCTGATTCGCCCACAGTTGCACCCCTCTCTCCGTGACCTCTCTCCCTCCAGTTTCTTTTTACATCACACCATTCCCCCTCCTCGTCCTCCTGTCTCGCCCTGCAGGAACGAGAGGGGAGCGGAGATGCTGGACGTCATTCGCCCACAGCTGCACCCCTCTCTCCTTGACCTCTCCTCCCCCATTCTTTCTTCACATCACACCATTCTCCCTTCCTGTGCACCCAAACCGCTTTGCAGGAACGAGAGGGGAGCGGAGATGCTGGATCTGATTCGGCCACAGCTGCAGGTCACGCCCACAGTCTCCTCGGTAACGCCTCACCTCCTAGATCCTTGTTTTTGTTTGACGTGGGATGTTTCATAGACGGGAGATGCTGTACCTCTTTCTTCCACCCACACCTGCAAGTCATGCCAACCGTCTTCTCGGTAATGCCTCAATGCTGATGTTCTCGATATTGGCTTTAAGATGGACGATGTTAGCGTTGGCATGGTTTGTTCCCTAACCCTCCTCCTGGTTCGCTCTCTATCCCTCTCGTAAAGGCTAAACAACACTCCTCCTCTCTCCGCTTCTCTCCTCACCTCTGTTACCTTCTCCTTTTTTGTTCTCCTCTCTTTCCTCATCTTTCCTCCTCTCTCCACGCCATATCCCTCCCTTCCTCTCTCTCCTCCTCTCCTCTCTCCTCGAATTCCTGCTTCTCCCTTTCCCCCTTCCCCCACCATGTGCAACCGTCGCCGCCCACCGGCAGGGAGATCGCCGCCCGTTTGTGCCGGAGATAGTAAAAGCAGATGACAAGGCAATGGAAGGAACTCCGAGGTTCACTCCCTTTCCCCTTCCCCATCTCCATCTGGCACATTCCATCGGCAGGGAGATCGCCGCCCGTTTGTGATGGAGACGGTGAAAGCAGACGACAAGGCAACGGTGGGCACGGAGAGGCTCAACCCCGCTCCCAGGCTCGTGGGCCACATCATCGCCTTCCTGCTCAACCTGGTAAGTCATTCATCGAGACTCCTGAAAAAAAAACAAAGCAGAAATATAAGTGATCGCATTCCTGCGTGGCCTGGTGGGTCTCAACCTCTAGTGGGAGCTGATTTCTCAAACTTCCAGCTTTATTAGAATGTCTGCATCTTATTTTCTACTGGTGTGTGCGCACATCATGCCCCTTGTCTGTTTCCCTTCCCTCCTTGCTCTCTCACTCAGGTGGGCCCCAAGGGACTGGAGTTTGCACGCTACTCACTGGATTACCACACCATACGCAATTACCTGCACGTGCACCGTGTGTGGGGGAAGGAAAGGTAAGTCAAACCCCCACACCACCCCCCCATCCCCTTGCCCCTCACAACTACCTGCGAGGAAAGGCAAGTGGCCTGTGTTCTGTTGCATGCGCTTCCTGTTTCAACCCCCCTCCTCCTGTTTCCCTCGTAACACTTCCTGCCCCCTCGATCTCCGTCTCTTATCTCATATTTTGTTTTCAAGGTGGTGCAATTGCTGTAGCCGTTCCACTCGTTTGGTTTCTTAATTGCGCCGTTTGTCTTGTTTGAATTATTCAAACAGGGCGGAGCAACACATTCCCAAGTATGCTAAAGAGGTGGTCTCACGATATAACAAGGACGGAGCTATTGATAAGCTGCTGTCTATGGGAAAGAAATAGGACTGCAGCTGCAAATGTTGCAAGTGGTGTTTATAATTATGCTAGAATGGCGGAACATGAAATGAAAAATTACCTAACAAATAGAAAAGACACTCCCTGGGCTGGTTTTCTTTCGCTATCGGATGGATCCTTTGCTGAGTATATCTCGAAGCACAGTCGATTGGATGGTTTGTCCGCCGTGGCGATTTGTGCTCAAAATATTGACAAATCGGAAAGAAGCACCCACCGCAATGACGAGAAAATGACGCACTCACTGCGGCTCGAATGGCCACGTGCACGCCTTGGAGCAGCGCAGAGAGTGCCCACGAATCGAGTCGCGAGGAGCGCAGAGCTCTGCTTGCGTGGAATGCAGATCTCTGACGACGTGTCGCAGCTTGCCTCGGTGCGCATCAGTGCAGAGCGGTGTACCGGGTTTGGTTTGGCAGCTGTCAAGCTGATGGAATCCGGTGCACCGCTCCGCACTGTATTCTTAGGGCGTGGCTTTATTTTGATTTTAGTAAAATTTCCGGACGATTCACTTTTTTGGTACAAGACGGTCCGAATAGCGAGAACCGGACTGTCCGAATTGCCATTCGAAACTTTGCCCCGTCCGAGTGCAGGACTGTCACCTTTTTCTGTGTTTTGAATTTCCCGAAGTACTGTAGTCTCGCTAGAGACTATGTAGCGTCGTTACACGATTCACGACAGCTTTTCTGGAAATTTCGTGAGCCAATCTGATTGCATATTTTCAGAAAAAGTCGTGCGCCAATCTCTAGTTAGTACTGTTGCACCGTCCGTCTGGTTTCCGAATTGTCAAGTGTTCAGATTCTGAACCGTTGAAAGGAGTAAAAGTGACGCGGCGGTTCGGATGTTGACGACGTCGTACACACTTCACGACGACGTCACGACATGATGCGACGCTGGTAACGGTTTCGCAGTTCGGACCTTCCACGGCTCGAGCCGTCGGGAGAAAAAATGGAGACACGCCCTTACCGAAGCAACAAAGCGGTAGCGAGGAGCTTTGTGCATGCTGCTGACATATTCAAAACTAAGCACTTGAGACATTGAAGAACAATTTTCGTTGATTCAGGGTTGGAGAGTTTATGGGCGACAATTCCAGCTCTTCCTCGAGTTTCTTTTTCCCGCCACCCTTATCGCGTTTTCACGTCCTGATTTAGCTGTATCCGCTCGCCAGCGGAAGCGGAGTCTAAACAGCTGCAGGAAATTTGGGTGTTGCGTCACAATGGCAGGGGCATCAGCAGCATTGCAGGCTTCTTCTGCAGGTTCCACCTCCTTGCTGCGCAAATCAGCATCCACGTCAGCCGTTGGAAACCTTTCGTCTCACAGGTCATTCGTCCCTTCGAACCGCACCCTGATCCCAGCGACCGCGCGTTCTACCAGATCTCGCAGCTCGCGATCCGCCAAGCGCACCACGACCGTCCGATCTGCGCTCGCGCAAGAGTTCTCCGCCCTCGATCGCGTCGACATTCTTTCCGAAGCGCTTCCCTTCATCCAACGGTTCCAACGCAAGACCGTCGTTGTGAAGTATGGCGGCGCGGCAATGAAAGACCCGACGCTTAAAGAGGGTGTGATTAAAGACCTCGTGCTTCTATCCTGCGTCGGCTTGCGGCCCGTGCTGGTTCACGGTGGCGGACCAGAGATTAACACGTGGCTGACACGGATAGGCATTGAGCCTAATTTTAAGAACGGTCTGCGTGTGACTGATGGCCTACTATGGTGCTTGTAGGGAAGGTGAATAAGTCGCTTGTGTCGCTTATCAATCGCGCCGGTGGCACTGCTGTGGGAATGTGCGGGAAGGACGGTCGCATGATCACCGCGCGACAGGCTAGCGCAGACCTGGGATTCGTTGGCGACATCTCGAGTATCGATACGACTGTCGTCAAAGGGCTGGTTCGTGACGGGATCATCCCCGTTATTGCAACGGTGGCGGCGGATTCTGAGGGGCAGGCTTATAACGTGAATGCGGACACGGCGGCTGGGGAAATTGCGGCGTCGCTGGGAGCGGAGAAGCTCATTCTGATGACGGACGTGCCGGGTGTGATGATCGACCCGAAGGACTTGGACAGGTGAGACCATGCGAGGTGAGGCGTGACGAATGACAGTGATCATAGTTGATTTGTTGGGAAATCACACGCAAGGGTAGGAATGCCATTGAAAGTCGACACACAACAGGCGAGGCCACAAGGGTGGGAGTCTGGGTAATTGGAATTCCGACAGCTGCCAGGTATATTGGTGGCCATTGTTGGGTATGGGAATTGAGACAGCAGTAAAGTTATCGCTGGGTGCAGGAGTGTGTGAAGGAAGTGCACGCAAGCGTGTGTTTTCATCTAGGCACCTGATCCAACTGCTGAGTGTTATTACCGGTATTCAACCGGAATCCGTCAATGCTGTGCTTCCAGCAAGCCGGGAACTTACCCTAAACCCCAGTGACGGGTGATGACACTTGCACATCACAGGGGTCATAAATCTCTACAGTGTGTTGTCCCTCTTGCACCCTTTTTTCTGAGGTTTTCTTTTACCCCTATTGTAAATCCTCACTGTCAACTCTTGTTGCTCTATGCAGTCTTGTGAAGGAGGTGGACATCAAGGGCATTCGCAAGCTGATAGCAGATGGCATTGTAAAGGGAGGCATGATTCCCAAGGTGGAGTGCTGCGTCCGGTCTCTCGCGCAGGGCGTGCATTCCACCGCCATTATTGACGGCCGCAAGCCACACTCGCTGCTGCTCGAGGTGCTTACAGATGAGGGTGCTGGCACCATGATCACCGGGTGATCAGAAGTACAAATCATGTGAATTGATGTTTTGGCTTATGCAAATGTGGCGTTTCATCATATTCTTTACCAAAGTTTTTTCAGCAGCGGTGGGACCGTTTATATCGAAACGAACACATTCCCCTTCGGACCTTGCCTGCACCAAACAAACACCTAAAATTTCCTCAGCCTACACTCCGTTCCCGCATCCCCCGCAAGCTCACATTTCCGCCATGGCTTCGGCCTTGAGAATCCCGCATGGGACAATTCCTCTCTCCCGTATACTCAAATGCTTCAGCCCAGCCTCGGCTGTTCCGAGACTAACAGTAGTGTGTGCGCTCCGGCCCGAGAAATGGGACGCCACCGTCTACGGGAACCTTTCGGAGCGTGCTATGAAGGAGCGGCTCCAGGCGGAGGGTTACAGTGTTACCCGTTATGCCTTCCCCCCTGGCACGGAGTTCCCGGAGCACTCGCACGGCGTGCACAAGAAAGACAGCATTCTGTCGGGCCGCTTCTTATTCCGCATGGACGGCACAGATGTGATTTTAGAGGCGGGTGATTGCATCTAGGTTCCTGCTGGCAAGCCTCACTATGCTCGCGTTGTGGGGAACGAGGCCGTGATTTTTTTCGACGCGAGCCGCTTTTCATAGTGGCGTATTGAAGCAGGAAAATGGAGGTGCTGGTGGCTGGGAAACGATAAGCTCTTGTCAGGCGGAAAATACCTTTTCTCAAGCCTAGGACACGTTTAATATCGTGCGTTCTTATGAAGGTCATTATTGGCTGTTGATGAATTGGAAAACAAGGGCACGATCAAAATCAATGAATGAATTAATTAATGGGTGACTATACAGATATCAGCGTATGTCAGAAACTAGTACCGGGAGACCCCGCAGCCTGCCAGCCACAGTAGCCGTGACGGCAAAATCCCGCGAGGCCAGACCCTCTCATGGTATATCCCCAAGAAGGACATCCTGTGCTGCCGTTAGGACTCTAGAACCACCCGCCGCAGGGTGATAAAAGTAAGGGACTTCTGTGGTGCTGCGTGGCCGTGAATGTACAGAACGAGCCTGGCCAAGTTCAGCAGCCTTTGCGGAGTCGCAATCGCAACCGCAACTTTTCGCTTAAGCTAGAGCCCACACGCGCTGGCGGATGAGGTCTCTCTCCCACTGTGCCACGTCAGTGAACGCGAAATCCGGAAGGTGCTCGAACTGCGGCTGGTAAGGGCTGTTCTTCGCCAAGTCGTACGTCGCGCCGCGGATGGCGTCCTTCTTGGGACCGCAGGGGCGGAGAGATGTAACGTGGTCGTACGCGCCGTTCAGGTCCACGCGCGGCTCAGCGAACCAGAACAGATACGCTATCACAGCTGCCGGAGACCGGCCGAGACCCGCGGTACAGTGCACATAGACGGTTTTCCCTTCCGCGACGGCTTGTGCGATCACAGCAACCATCCTGGGAAGCTCATGGCGGAGCGAATTCGGATCGAAATCAACGGCTGGCCGGCGGTGATGCTCCACGTGGCGCTCCCTGCACCGTTTGATGATGGCGCCGATGTCCACGCTCCAGTACGCCATGTCGTGGTCTTGCTGGAGATTAAGAATCACCTGCACACCCTCGTCGCGCTGCAAACGGTCTATGTCGTCCGGTGTTTGCGGCTGCGAGCCGACGATGATCTTAGGGTGCACGCGGGTGTAGTAAATTCCGAGCTCGTGGTGGTACTCGTACGGATTCGCCATCTGTCGTTTCATCCGGTCGTTGTATTCGAGGGACGACGGCGCGACTTTCAGTTGGCGGTTCAGCTCGCGTTCGGTCATGGTGGGTGGGGCCTCGCAGCGGACTGGTGAAGGCCGAGACGGCTTGGAGAGCCAAAATTGGGGAGCTACGGTCCGTTGTTTGCTTCTCGTGTGTTGCGACGGTAGCAGGCTGATGGAATTCACGGGTGTCAGGGTGGAAAAACGAGCAAGTGCTGCAGCAGCCATTGCTTCCAGTTGTGATGGAAAAGAGATTTGACACCAGGAAGTTTTGAAGAATGGCCTGTGAAGTGGGAAGCAGTCCTCTTATGATTCACTTGACGTTTCGATCACAGTTCCAAGGAAGGTGGATGAACTTTGTGCAATCAATAGGTGCAAGCGAGCGACTGAGAGCGAGAAATCAGGTAGAATATCTCAACAAACCACGTGACTGAGATGAGGAAACGAATATCCGCATTTTATACAGATGCCATGCCCTATGTCCAGTGGTAGGTTTCGCACTGTCCATGCATGAAGTCCAGTGGAGCTACCTCCGACCTCCCTCCCACTCTGCTGTTGGTGGGTGGTGCACACGGCTCAGCAGCATTCACTGCATTCCTTGTCCTCTACGCTCGGTTTTTTGTGGGTGGTGTGGTGTGGTGCTGTGTGGTCTGTGATGTGTGGTGCGTGGTGTGTGCTGTGTGTGGCTCGTCGTTTCATTTGGGGTGATAAATTTCCTCGCCAAGTCCCAGGTGTAGCACGCGCTCCGTCTCGCCTCACCACAAACTCTCCCTGACGTGACAACCACCTCGACCGCAATTCACAGGTCAGACGAACAATTGCGGGACGTGGATTGGCTCTGTTGTGGGAAACGGAAATGGACCGGATAAGGTGCGTCTCGATGACAAACGCTCACCTGCTCCAACAATCACGCTACGTCAGCGCCTCTGCGATTCGCCGTCAGCGGGCCGCAGCTGTGACCACGCCAACGTGGCGAGCACCAGAGAATGCTCGTACATGGAGCAGTTCCATAAAGCTGATGATGGCAGAAGAGGGCAATCAATAACGAGTTATTTCTCTGAGAAATAAGATCCCAACGAGTGTCCGAAAGTGGTTCCTCCGATCGCCTCCCACAATTATGACGTGGACTAGCCCATCCAACCACATGTCGGAGCAACTCCAGATGTGCTGTGCGCATGCACGAACAGCTAGCACCTGAATCTAGAGGAAGTGAGCCCAGACCTTCACGAGGTTTGCGAGATTTTCAGCGAAGGGCAAGTAACAGGGTGGGTTACAAAGTGGCTAGTGAGGATGTTCTTCACATACTATGGGTGCTTCCTTCTTACAAGCACAGATAATTTCTAATGCATAAGAGTCCATAATATCAAAGGAAATAATAGAGATGTTCACAACTTCTTCCACGTATATGATTCGCAGTCCACAAATCTTCATCATTTCTAAAATTGGCGGGATTTCGGACAACACGAACACACTGGTTCTGCAGCATCTTCACTTGCAGCGGCAGGATGGAGTGTGGGCAAATTGGCCAACATTAGGGATGAAAAGATAAGGAAACTAGTATTACATAGATGAAATGTCTCAATATAGAGCTGTAAGAAATGGCGTGGATTTCTGTGATGTCGCTGTTCACACGAGCCTAGTCTTGCCGACAGAGTAATTTGTCGTTTTATGTCAACATCCCACCGACACCCACCAGACTTTTCTGTCAGCATGCCAACGCGTTTCGCATCACGTCTGTGTGATACTTGTGCAGAAGCTGGCCCTCGCGCTTCGCGATGTGCCAGGGGACGTCCCATCATCTTCCTCAAGACTCCATCGGACGGCTTAAAATAGGTCACAGTGAGGGTATTAGCGTCTGATTGGTGGGAGGTCTTTGGAACAAGGAGCTACGTTCCTTGTCGAGGGCTGTGTTGAGGTGTGGGAATTGATTGGGAAGATTGTCGAGGAAATGACGGATCGCCCTGTTTTCACGTTTCCGATTCCTTTAGGAAGTGGCTTTGACACCGCCTTGCTTCTCCGCTCGCGTCCGATTCCTTGGGGCAGCTGATTTCGACATTTCCAATTTCCTGTGACCAGGGAAATTCTGAATTTTCCCTGGTTTTAGTTTAGTGGCCAGTGGAAAAAATAAACCCCTCTTGGATGGCAGGCCATTTGGGAGGCATCAACCCAAAACACCTTGCCTCATGGTGTTTAGGGTTGATGCCTCCCAAATGGCATGCCCTCCATGAGGGGTATATATTTTTTGTCCCGAGCTTCTCGTAATTGACGCGACAATTCAATTTATGATATCCTGATAAATAAACACAATATTAGTCTCTGGACTCGAAAAGGGGCAATAGCGTAAATAACTGACCGAAGGTATCGGACTCGAGCGCAAAGCAAAGCGGTGTCAAAACCACTTTTAAAAGAAATTAGAAACCCGAAACCAGGGCGGTCCGTCGTTCCCTCGAAGATTGTCGGTTGAAGTACAGAGCAATTTATCTCGAGGTGCGGTGGAAGGACGGTGAGGAGGTGCGGCTTGCTTTTCCCAAGAATTAGTCGTTGGTCGGTGTCATTATTGTGTTGCACCCAGTGGCGGTATATCCGCCCCGAACCAGCTCATTCCCCCTTCGCTTCCCCTGCGCAAGGAGCTGTACGTTTCCGCACTCATGCGCAGACAAATCTCCGCATCCGCCCGTGAAGGTCCTCTCCTCATGCCAGTCAAATCCCAAATCACCTTCCATATGTTGAACCGTTTCAACCGAACCAGCCTCCAAGCCAGAACATTCTTGCCTCGTCCCCGTGGCCTTGTCTGCATCCCATTGGACGAGCTGAGTGCACGCCCGCCCACCTCACCTCACCCCTCTTCAGCAGCCGCCAACCGCCATTCGCAACGCGGAGCGGAGCAATGTATGGATAGCCTCTGCTCTGCCTTCTCCTCCCCTTCCCCTTTTCCTCCCTGCGCGCAATCAGCCGCCCAGGGCAGCAGCACGCTGACTGACGATCAGCCCACATCCCTCCCGAAATTCCCCGATTTGACTGCCTGACCACTGCGCCTCTTCCTCCCGTCAGTTTCATTTTCCATTCCTGTCGCATCTGCTGCACCCCAGCCAAGCCTCCACTCCGCCCCACCATGAACTTTCCACCGTCAATTGCCGCTTCAAACCAGTCGGTACGCGGCTTCCTCCTCCCCCGTCCCTCCCCCTATCTCCCCACTCGTTCCGCCTCGCGGAACTCCAACCATCCATTGGTTGGTCCGTTCTTCGTCCAGCTTCATATTCCTGAAACCCTTTCTCATTTTCAGTCCTCCCATCCCACACAACCAGTTCCACTCTTTTCTATCCTTCCAAGATTTTCCCAGTTTCCAGGCTGTCCGAATTGGACGACTCAGCCAACGCTGGTCTCCAAAGCATCGTGCTGCATAAAGAAAATAACAGCTTAGTAGTGCGAACAGCAGATCGTCGATTGCGCTAGCTTTTACTCTCTTTTTTTCGTAGATCCAGTCAATATGCATAAGAATCAGCTTCAGGAGGTGGCTCAGAAGAACGGTTACAACCTCCCCTCATACGCATGCATACGCGAAGGGCCAGACCACGCACCTAAGTTCAAAGCCACGGTTCTTTTCAATGGCGAGACCTACGTAAGCCCGGGTTACTTCATATCGCTCCGCCAGGCGGAGCACGCAGCAGCCGAGGTGGCCCTCAGGAGCCTTTCCGAGTGCTGCCCGTCGCAGTCCATCGCTACAGTGCTCGACGAGTCAGGTGTCTGCAAAAATTTGTTACAAGAAACGGCTCAGCGCGCCGGCGTGCCGCTGCCGAATTACAACACGGTGCGGTCCGGTCCCGGGCACCAGCCGGTGTTCACGTGCACACTCGAGGTTGCGGGACTGCAGTTTTCCGGCGAGGCGGGGCGGACGAAGAAGCAGGCGGAGAAGAACGCCGCGATGTCCGCTTGGTCCGCGCTGAAACGACGTAAGTGCCATTCACTTTTCAGAAACTCTCACTGCTGTCTTTGCCTAGCGTTTCTCCCCGACAGCTCTCGTGCCGCTTTCCGCGAAGTTATCGTTTTCGCCTAAGCTTTCCCTCAGCTTGTCTGATTATGTTGACACTAGTGACTAATTTCTCCCCGCTCTTTTTTACTTTTTCCTGTCTCGTGCAGATGCCGGCCGCAATCAAACGGGTCCCATGGAGGACTTCGACGTGACGGACGAGCAGGAGCAGAGCGCCATCGCGCGGGCTCTCGCTAACGCGTACAACGCCAGCTCCATTAAGAGCAGCCCCGCTATTCTCTCTCATCCAGCCGACGCTTCGCACAGCGCTTACCTCCCGTCGCCGTCTCCCAAGGGCATGGCGTCCGCGCCGCTCTACACGCGTAACCGCAGCTCCGTCTCTCAGAAAACCAATCCCGGTCCCCTTTACGTGCCGCGCCACGTCTGCTCCGGCCGAACTTCAGAGCCTGCTTCCGGCAACAACGGTCGCATGATGACGTCATCGTCGTTCAAGATGCGTGAAGTCACCATCCGCGAATATTCCGTCGAAGATTCGCTTCCAGATAATCTCGGGAGCATCATGGGTGCGCCTCCGCAGTTCCCGCGCATGACTCACTCCAGCCCGCACATCGAGCCGCCAGCGCCGACTTACACTCGCCGGTCGGCTGCCAGCCGGTTGAACGGCCCTGCCGACATCGGCAGCAGCGTTCCTAACTTCCCCACGCAGCCATTGGTCTCCCAGTCCGTGCCACGTCAGCCTGGCCTCGGTCTCCCCCAATCAGAGCAATCCGCGGGGAATCAAACTTCTCGTTACACGAACATTGCTATCAAGCCGGGGATGGCATACCAGCCGCGATCGGCGCGCGGAGGGCAGTCTAAGCCTGCGTACAACACCGGAGCATCGTCGTACGTCCCTGCGGAGCGCATGGACGATGCCGGAAGCGACGGACGCTGGTCGCACAACAGTCGCCCAGTAAGCTCCAACGGCGGGGGTCTGCTCCCCAACCCCACGGACGTATCGGGTGCGTCCACGTGGACGAGGCAGTCTACCAGCATGCCGTACTGGCCCGCGCATGCTATGGGTGGTATGCCATCCAGCCGGCCTGTCTCCGGCTCGTTCGCCGGAGGTAGGATTGGTGGGGTTGCTGCTGGCATGGGTGCTGGCGGAGATCCCAAGGGCAAGCAGTGCCGCACGGAGCTGGAGGAGGACGTGTCCGCGGCTGAGGCGACGACCCGTCAAATGCTCAACCACCTGTGCTTGTAACGAGGCGACTGAGATTCCGCATAACAGCAGTTCGGAAATGTCTTCCTCTCCCAACACCTCCCTCACTCCGCTGCCGAATTACGTTCATTTGTTAACGGGGTGAATTCTCTATGCGAGTGTTACCTCACTCCCCTAACCATGCACTTCTCTCTGCACCTCCATTTTACAGCACTGGCTGTAGTGGCAGTGCATATTTAGGGGACTGTCAGTCAGCTCTATACTTGCCACTGGCAACTGAACAGAATCTGAATAAGCATTCTTCTATTACTGCCCACTTAGTTGGTATCCCATCATTATGTGAGCTAAATGTCTGTTTTGCGAACAGGCTTAAAGTTGGAATTTTAACTTGTTTTTAAACTGTACCGTATGTTTTGGGTAACAGCAAGCAGGGACTACTGGTAAGTGTAGCATGTTGAGGCAGAAGTGAATTTGCATGGATGGCTTAGTTGATTTGGCAGGCATGGTGTCATGCATGGTCTATGGGGGAAAAGTTGCGGTATGTTTCGAGTGCAATTGAGTAAGCGAGCGAGGATTGCACTACCGAGACAAGAATACAATGAGCGAAGGATTGAGCGAAGAATATATAGCGAAGCTATGGTGGTAACGGTAATGCGTGGAGAATGGGGTGCGCGACGGTCCTGGTGCCAAGGTTGGGGACTGTGGAGGCGGAGGTCCGGAGCGCGGGTTACCAACCGAACCGTGAGGTTGGGTCGCATCGTGAACAGTGGCGGGAATGGGGTCGATGCGAATGCCGCGAGTGGTAACGGATTATTGTGGGGTGCTGTTGGCGGGAACAGTGGTGTACGCATTGAGTAGGGACGCGAAGTAAGGAAAAGGGGTTTTCCTTACACTACCCGCCCCCCTTCGGGAGGCCTCTCTTACGAGAGCGCGTGTATATCCCGGAAATTCCGGCTGCGCAGGTACTCGGTGAGGATGGGGTGGTTTTCGATTTTGTCCAGTGGAACCCAATTGTCCTCGGTGGGCGTGCGGTCTCTCCAGCGGATCAGGAATTCGACCCTTCGAGCTCCTCGTGGGTCACGAACTCGGTGGCTCATTGTTAGAATCCTAGGCAAAGGTTATGTCGACTATCGACACGAACAAGGAACACGACGACCGGAACGACCAGAACGGACAGGCGAGACAGGACGCGGCGCAGGCTCACGACGCTCTGCAAGGCCACCAGGCTGCTCTGTGTACGGAGAAGGAGCAGGCAGCGGTGAGCCAGGCTGTAACGGAAGACCAGTAGACGAGGGAAGACTGAGAACCTGGCGAAGTGCAGAGTCAGGTGGTGGCTGAGACGACGGAGACGGCGGAGCAAAGAAAAGGCGCGGATGAGCAGTGCCACCAGCACGAGCAGCACCAGCCCCTCCAGCAGCTCCAGCACCTCCAGCAGCTCCAGCACCCCCAGCAACTCCAGCACCTCCAGCAGCTCCAGCACCTCCAGCAGCTCCAGCACCTCCAGCAGCACCACCACCAGCCCCAGCAGCTCCAGTACTCCCAGTACGAGCACCTCCGGGACCAGCGACACCAGCAGAAGAACCTCCAGCAGGAGAGCCCTGAGGTGCAGAAGTGGGACGCTGACGGCGACCGTACCAGTCGTGCAGCTGCTGGGAGGTGAGGGGCACACGCGGACGAAGACGGCTACTCCAAGGAGACCGCGTAACAGCAGTCTCAGAACCCTCAGGCGACTCACCCCCAGACTCAGCACCCCCAGGCTCCGCACACACAGGCTCAACACCCCCAGACGCAGCACCTCCAGACGCAGTACCCCGAGACGCAGCACCTCCAGGCTCCTCACGCGCAGGCTCAGCACCTCCAGGCTCCACACGCTCAGCGCCCCCAGACTCAGCACCCCCAAGCTCCGCACCCCCAGGGACAGCACCACTCGCAGCAGGACCGGAGTCACCAGTGACCTCAACAGGCGCAGGCGCAGGGGGGTCTACCTGAGAGACACCTGAAGGAGCAGGAACTGGCGCGGGGAGGGGGTCTACCTGGGGAGGACCTGGGGCGAGAAAGAGCGGCGGGGGGGGGGGGGCGAGGAGCAGTGCGGTAGGGGAAGAGGCGGTAAAAGGGGACCGACTCGTCAAAGGTGACGTCCTGAGACGCAAAGACACGGCGCGAGGCGGGGTCGTAAAACTGCCAGCCAGGCGCGTCAGGGACAAAGCCAAGGAAGACGCAAGGAATGGCGCGAGGGGAGAGCTTGTCCGCGGTGGTATCGCGGACAAAGGCACGAGCACCCCAGACCCGGAAACGCGACGCGTCGCCAACCTTCCCCGTCCACAGCAGTGTGGGCGAGGTCTCCGGCAAGGAGACACGGGGCCAAAGGTTGAGCTGATGCGCGGCGTACCGGACCGCAAACGGCCACAGAAAATGGGGAGCAGCCGCATGGATCATGGAGGTACGAGCGACCTCCATAACTAAGCCAATGCGGCGCTCAGCAACCCCATTCTGCTGCGGAGAGGCCGGAAGCGTGAAAGTCTGGCGGATGCCGTGCTCCGCACAGAAGGCTGCCAAGAGGTCTGAGGAGAACTCACCACCTCTGTCAGATTGCAGACGCAGGACAGGAAAGTTCGACTGGAACCGCTCATGGAGCTGGAGACGAGTAGCGCGGATCCAGGGGATCAAAACATCAGGGACATCCCCCTTGCGCTGCAAGGGGAAGACCGTGGTGTAGCGCGTGTAGTCGTCGACAACCAGCAGGAAGTACCGCTCGTGGCCCTGTCCACGGACGCGGGCTGGGCCCCACACGTCCAGGTGGAGAGTCTGCAGTGGAGCCTCTGTGGGAGGGAACGAGGAGGAGTGAGGAGCGGCGCGCTGCCGCCCCTCGACGCAGGGAATGCAGGGCGGCGCAGGAGAGGGAGGGAGGGGAGGCAGAGACCTGGGAAGACCAGAAACCAGGAAGCGGGAGTGCATGCTGCGTAGGCGAGGCAGGGAGGGGTGACCAAGGCGGTGGTGCCACAGGAGAGTGTCGTGCGACAGCCGGCGACACTCACACTGAGTAGCTACCTGAGCAGACGCGTGCAACTGGAGAGACAAAGAGGCGGAGCGTGACGCAGTGGTGAGGGTATACAGACTGGACCCTGGCGCACGAGCGAACGTGGCCAGGTGGCGACCAGTCTGGGAGCACGTGCAAATCGCCACACGCTGCCGGCCAGGGGTGAAGGTGTCAACCCCCGCATCCTGGAGGACAGCGTTACTCACCAAGTTTGTAGAGAACGAGGGGAGGTGGAGACCAGACAGCTCACCAGACGGGACCGCCGGACACGGAAGCACAGTGGAAGACCGTGCAAGCACTGGGCCCCCAGAGGGGTCAGCCAGTGAGACAGGAACAGGTGCAGGGAGGGGAGTGATTGTTGTACCGTCGCGAAAGAAACAGCGGGAAGCACCAGAGTCAAGTGTAAAGGTGTGCAAGGCCTGTGCAGGCGCAGTACCAAGGGGAGCAGACTCACAAGCACCTAGTGCTGCAGGGGCTATACCAGGGGCTATACCAGGATCCGACGGCATACCCAAGTAGCAGTCACCCTCAGCACTAACAGACAAGGCATACATAGAAGCAAGAATTGCCTCATAGTCAAGATCAAAGATAGGTACATCACGCCTAAGCAAGTCTGCCCAGTTGGGGAACTCAGGAGCATCAGGAAACTTGGCGCGCCAGGCGTCGCTAAGCCGAGCGAAGCAGCGCTGCTCAGTGTGAAAACCTGTGCACTGGCGACCAGCGCGGGGACCTGTGCGGATGATATAGGGGCAGCGACCAGGACCCCCAGAAGCCCCACGCCCGGCATACCAGTCAAGAAGTTGCTGGGAAGTGGGGGTCTGGCGCTGACGCTGATGCTGCTGCTGCTGCTGCTGCTGCGGCTGCTGCTGGCCCTGACCACCAATGCCACTACCGCTCCCTCCTCCCCCACCGCCGCTGCTGCCCCCTCCACCGCTCCCAGTGCCTCTGCCGCCCCCACCACCACCTCCATCGCCTCCACCCCCACGAACACCCCCACCACCTCCACCTCCCCCGCCGCCTGCACCACCGCCACCTCCACCGCCACCCCCACCGCCCCTGCCACCCCTGCCGCCCCTGCCGCTGCGACGCTTCCCACTAGGAGCGGAAGCAGCTCCGACCCCCTCAGCACCAAAGTAGTCGTGAGCAGCAGCTGCGGAGGCGTAGGAGGGGGTGAGAGGGGAGGGGGAGCACCCCTCAAAGAGGGGAGAGCGAGGAGTGCCACGAGCAGCACCTACAGCGAGGATGTTCTTCTCTGCTGCGAGGAGGTGCTTCTCGAAGTCGTCGACAGTGAGAGTGGTGGGGTCTAGCGCTAGGAAGTGGTCCCTGACAGAGCGAAGAGTGTCAGGGAGGCAGGTGACGAGGAAATAGAGAGTGAAGTACATCGGGGGGGGGGGGGGGGGGTTGCAGCGCAGAACTCGGCTGAAAGGGCGGCACGAAAGCGAGAGTCAGTAGCGCGCAGGTGAGAAACTAGGTCCTCAGTAGTGGTGAACGAGGAAAGATCGGGGAACAGGTACGGTAGCATGAGTCGACCTATGGCTGCAGTGGCCGGGGAGGAGTAGCGCGCAACTACAGCGTCGTACAGTGTCTTAGCAGTTCTGTGCTGGCTGAAATGCGCTCGCTCAGTAATCGGCAGGTGGTTCCTAATAGCTAGGCGTGCAGCAGCATCACGAGTCTGCCACTGGGAGCGTTCTAGAGCAGGAGCATCAGCAGCAGGAGTAACGGCAGTGCCAGAGACGTAATCAAACAGGGAAACGCCCTCTTTTGCATCAGTCAGAAGGAACAGCTGGAGATCGTCTAACCACACAGTGAACTCGATGGGACGACCGTCAGGCTCGAACGCTAGAACGTTAGGCGTCGCCATATTGGCTTAAGGCAGGAGGCAGGAGGCAGCAGGCAGCAGGCACCAGGTAGGAGGCAGGAGGCAGAGGCAGGAGGCAGAGGCAGGAGGCAGGGGCAGCAAGCAGCAGGCAGGCGGCAGCAGGCAGCAGGCAGCAGGCAGGCAGCA